TTCGAGAGTCTTTTCAGAATGTCACTTGGAATTGATGATCCTCAAACAATGACATGACAGTACTTAGAGCTTTCTCACTGCATTATTCACCATTAATCTTCACTACTTTCCTACCGGGGGCCAGAGATTGCTTGCTTCAATGGGTTTTGAGTTATGGACTCTGTTTAACAAACTATGACCTCTGGCACTAAACAGCAGCTAACAAGCATATGATCCAAAGAGCCGCCTTAAATATCTCAATGCTTTTAGTACAGTCGACTCTTAGTACAGTCGACTCTTAGTACAGTCGACTCTTAGTACAGTCGACTCTTAGTACAGTCGACTCTTAGTACAGTCGACTCTTAGTACAGTCGACTCTTAGTACAGTCGACTCTTAGTACAGTCGACTCGTAAACGGCGGTCTTCTCAATATTTAATCCGTGCCCCAATGCACAAGCCAAATGCCTACCGAGAGGGACATGCACGCCTTTCGAGGCACAGAGGGGTTTAGAAGGGATGTCATAGAATTAAGGACACGTGTTTTTTAGTGTCGTTCGTCGTGAAGATGCAAAAAAAAGCACCACTTCCACCTCCCTAATGATCTGTTTGCGTCAGCATACTGTGCCCAGTTGAGCGCCTGGATCCATATGCTGGCGGGGCCTCGTCCGCATCCTGGCTACCGGACGGCTCAGCCAACTTCGTGGATGATCCTGCTTGTGATGCACGCCTTGACCCGGTAGTCTGTCTTTGCTCGAGCGCCACTAACAGCTCCCTCTGCCCCGAAGTTCCCGCGAGAAATATGGCCTGGTCCAAGGTTCCGAACCCCTGATCTAGAAACATGTCCACCATTTCCCTCTTGCCTGTCTCGACCGCTTTCGAGAATCCTGCCTTGAGAGGGTCCCTCTCTTTGAACCCCTTCTTGTCTCGATCTTGGTGCTCTAGCATGATGCGCATCGCATCCACTTTGTCATGGTTAAGCGCATACTCGAACGGTGACTTTGGCGAATGTGGACTCGCCGCCACGGTGATGTGCGGATCTGCCCCGCCTTCCAATAACACGCGCACGAGTTCAATCTTATCATGCTTGATGCAATGGCCTAGCGGCATATTGGATAGATACCCCCACGGCAGCGAGTGTTTGTTTGGGTTGGCGCCGGCCTTGAGAAGCAGTCGCATCAGCTCAGACTTTTCGCCCTCACTCGAAACGGACTGTTTCGCAACTACAGTAAGGAAGTGCGTCCCCGAGTGATTCGATATGGTGGCGGCGGCGCCATGCTTGAGTAGGAGGCGTGCGATATGAAGCTTGTCTTGCTGAACAGCGAGGAGCAAGCCGGCGCGGCCCGTAATGTCTCGGGAGTCGGCGTCGGCCCCCGCCTCGAGAAGCATCGTGACAATCTCAAGCGAGCCACTGGAGATAGAGTTGACGAGCACGGGGGCGCTCTTGACGTCCTTGCCGTCTGGATTTGCGTTGGAAGCGAGCAGCAGACGTAGGAGATCAATGTTGCCCGAGTTGACGGCCATGGAGAGGGGACACCCGTTTGCCCCCGCGCGGGCGTTCACGTCGGCGCCATTGTCGATGAGAAGCTTGACCATGTCGAGCTGCTTGTTTGCCACGGCGACGCCCAGTAGAGGCTGGCCGGTGATGTTGGTAGCTAAAATCTTGGCGCCATGGTCGAGGAGAAGGCGGACAGCAGGAAGGTCTTTGCGCTGGACGGCAGCAACCAGGACGTGTCGACCAACGGCACTGACAGCGTTGGGGTCTGCGCCGTGCTCTAAAAGCAGGGCGACCGAGGCAAGCGGAGCCTTCTCGACTGTCCCAATGAAGTGGGGAGTTCCGATGGTGTTGCTGGCCTTCGGATCGGCGCCATGGCTGAGTAGAACCTTCAGAATGTCGGTATATCCAGCCTCAGCAGCGTGGAACAACGGCGGCATGTTCTTGATCGAGTCTTTCGTGGTGATCTTTGCGTAATTATCAATGAGAAAATTGACGGCGTCGAGGCGATTTGCAAGAATAGCGCTGATCAACGGGGTGTATCCCTTCTCATTATGGCCGTTGATGTTGGCGCCTTCGCCGAGAAGGCCCTTAATTTGCGGGATGTTACCAATAGCCGCAGCGTGACAAAGTGGTGTCACGAGGGGTTCGATGGGATTGATTTTGGAGGAAAGCGTCTTGAAAATATTGTTGAACCCGCCAAAGACGCCTTTCGCTCTGGCTGACTTTGCCTTCGACTTACCCTTCCGTTGACTCAAGTCATGATAAAGGGGAACCTCAGGCTGTGCATCGTCTTGCTGGTGTCCGACGTCACTCCTTGGTGTCGTGGCAACATGAGTTGACGAGCTAGCAACAGCTGTATCGTAGTCAGGAAGCACGCCTTGTTTCTCCGACGGTATTGATGGTTCAGGTGCTGCAGGAGCTGGTCCTGGGTGTGACAAGTGAAACTCAGCCATGAGTCGTTCGATGTCTTCGAGTTTGGTCTCAAGCGCCGCGAAGACTCCCTGCTGCTGTTCCACGTCTTCCAGGTGTACAATGTCTTGAAAGGCAAACACAGTCTCAATGTGAAGCCTCCACAGCTCCGCAGCGTCAGTGAAGGGTTGTAGTTCTGATTGTTCTCGTGCCGAGGCTGACAAGGCTGCCTCCAAGTCCGTCGTCACGCCACCGAGGAGTAATTCGCATGAGGACATGGACGACGAGATTTGTCGTCGAACTTGTTCACGGAGATTGGCCGCACTGGCCAGGTTTGCCGAAAGCTCCTCCGCGCCTTGTGACAGTGCGTTCACGATGGACGCCAGCTCCTTCAGCTCATCGTGAATGAGGCTCCCGGCGTTCGTCTGCGCCGCCAACTTCTCGAATCCGATGCTCAATTGGGCGCTGCGGTTGGCGACGGTCGAACATTGCGACGAGAGTTGAATGCCAGGTGGTACACCCTCCATGATAAGTATGTTGGAGCTCGGAGCTTCGATGTCGGTGTCGTCGTGCCTCGGTCGGGGCAATGACGTTGTTTGTGTAGAGATAAGACGCACGTCTGCGCTGACGCGCGATTCATGCTTTGATAGTTCTGCTGATCTGAAGGTACCGACTGTACCAGGCACTTCCGGGTACTCCAGAGATCAGAGTCCACAACCAATCTAAGGCCTCGCTCGGCGCAAGCTTACGTGGAGGTCGCACTGCCCCATCCCCATGTACAATACAGGCGACTGAGACGAGGTCGGCTAGGGCTGATGCGGGCGGGTTTCCCCGCCCATGTCAGGCCCCGTCAAGTACTGACTTGACGGGATCTTGTCCCATGACTTGGGCTCTGCTGGATCTTGGAGGACTTTGAGCCAACCACCGACGGCGAGGGAGATGTAGACTGCGTCCCAGCGCGGGCCGTCGCCAAAACAAATGAAATGGTTCGCCAGGGAAATGACGATGATGCTGAACAAGTAGGCGTCCTCATCTGTGCCGTTACCCTGCGCGACAGCGCTCATGCGGTCAACTTCATCCTCAGTCATGTGACTCTTCAGCATGACTTCGACATCCTCGAGCGATTTCCACATGGAAGGCGGCTTTCCTTGTGACGCAGCAGCGTCCGTGGCCTGACGGCGCATGTCGGCGAGCTCAGCAGAAGAATTATCGCGGGATTGCTCCTGGAGGCGAACAAAGGTATATCCTTTTCGTTTGTAGTCCAGTCGAGACTGGGCGAGAGACATCAGAAATGTCTCATCCTTCATCACGGACTGGAGTGAGAAAATGTGCCGTAGCGACGCGGTGGCGGGCGACGTGGTGGTGGAAGCATTTTCTGATGCATCACTGATCGCGCGTGCCTGGTTGTGTTCTTTCCAGAGAGCAACCGTTCTCGTGATGCAGCTCCAGAAGATGGCACCAGTAATGGTCTTTGCTTTGTCGTCGCCAATGTAAGGTAGTATGTCTTCTGGCGGGTCAAAGAGACGAACGAGCCGATCAGTGTCATTCCAGAGGCCATAATCGAGACGTGGACTCATGCGGCCGCTTCCCAGCGATAGGACTGACCAGTGGCCCTGGTGCTGTCCTACAGCGTGAGACAGGCCTTGCGGGACCGAGGACACGGCCTGAATGGGCGTGTCGTGGGGGTTTGGTTCAGGGATCTGCTGCCGAGCTTGGGCACTGCTTGAGAGCCCTGCTTCGTGCGAGATCCCGGGCTCCGAATTCGACTGTAGCTCGGGTAATCCAGCCGCTTGTCGAGCACGATTGAGGACTTTACTGAGGTCGCCGACAAGTAGCCCCCGACTCCTGAGAGCAATGTCAATATCTTCGATGGCTTTCCTCAAAGCTGTGTTCTCGTCTTGCAGAATCTGAACCTTATTTGCGTGTCGCTTCCGGTACTCTCGCTGGGCGATCACTCCCCTTTCACGACGACTTGCTGCCTGTTACCTTGGTTATCACCGTTGCTGATGATCATCCGAATCAGATGGGTTGACTTGGCAATGCACTTACGTCGGCAGCTTTGTTGTCCCGGCTCGCCATCCTGTTTGATTGATCGTAGGGCTGGAGTCCAAACGTTGATAACGTTACTCAGTTTTGAGGTGGGCATAACGTTGGCCGCCATTAGATTTCAGGTTGGTGGCAGCGCACGTCAGACTAGAGTATCCACTTGCCATTAATAATCGACATGGAGCAAATATGACACCGTGAAGCGTTATCATAACGTTGCCAACCAGGCGACCACACCGGAGCCTTACGGTCTGATCCATCTCACCCGTATGACCGGAGGAACTTTGGTATAGAGTATGTTCATTGTTTGCTATGCGGGAGCTCAGCGATTGGGAATGACAGCTGTTTCTGATGCGGGCGGACATTGATCATGTCACACGGTTCATCATCAGAGATGGCGGAATCCCAGGTTTCCGAGTAACAGATTGCTGCCTTGCACCGGCGTATAAAAGAAGGGAAATCCTCACTCAAAGGCAGTGAATAATAGAGCTTGGGTACTCACTTTGCCATCATCTAACCTTGACGTCGTCGTCCAAGTACCTCTTCACTACATTACCTGCAATCCAGTGCCATGGCTTCTCCTATTCCCACCAAAATCTACCGCACCAAGACGTACGAAGCCATTTCTCCTCTTCGCCCTGAGCTCTCCACCTCCGAGAAGAATGCTTTGATTACTGGGGCTGCCAGTCCTGGAATCGGCAGCGCCATAGCCAAGTCTCTCGCCCAATCCAATCTCGGGAATCTGGCCCTCCTTGGCCGCACTTTTAAGACCCTTGAGATTACTAAAGCCAGCATCGAGGCTCTGAAAACAGACACCAAGATTCACATCTACGTTGTCGACGTCGCGGACGCCTCTGCAGTTGACGCTGCCCTCAAAGCCTACACCGAGGCTATCGAAGGCAAAATCGACATCCTCATCGCCAACGCCGGCTACATGCCTGACCTGACGACCATTGCCGAAGCCACGCCCACCGACTGGTGGCGTGCCTTTGAAGTAGCAATCAAGGGCAACTTTAACCTTCTTCGCGCCTTTCTCCCTGTTGCTGCTCCTGGCGCGTGTGTTATCCACATCTCGACGGCAGCGGTCTACTTGTCGTACATGGAAACATTTTCGGCCTACCGCGCTTCGAAGATGGGGGGCACCAAGTTGTTTGAGTACTTCCATCACGAGAACCCGAACCTCTTCGTGCTGCAGATTCATCCTGGTCTCATTGGTGGCACGGCCATGGCTGCCAAGTTTGGGCACAAAGCCGTTGACCTAGGGCTGGCGTTTGATGATATCAGCCTGCCTGCCGATTTTGTTGTGTGGGCTACGAGCGATGAAGCAAAGTTCTTGAATGGGAAGTTTGTATGTGTCAATTGGGATGTTGATGAGCTGAAAGCTATGAGAAGCAAGATCGAGGCTGCTGATAAAACTCTCCCTGTCATGGGCTTGCTTGGGTGGGACTAGATTTGCGACGTTAGATGATTAGCAGCGCGATGCCATTAGGGCAACATTCTTTCATAACATGACTTGACTTCGGCAGTATGGCATAATTGACAGTGCTGAGAAGGTCACCTGCGCCATATTCTCTGATTGTTCAAGATTCACTCGAGCTCAGCCTCGGTTTCACTACTCCAGCTTGTCGATACGACCTCGAGTTTCACGCCAGACCGGTTCATGATACAAATGTTTATAAAAAACGTCGTTTCGCACCAAATAAATAGTCGGACTCTGCAGCTTCTGCGACTGTTCATCCGCTCAGCACCGTTCTTGATTGGCACCTTCTCGAGAGGCAGTCGTATTCAATATCTCCGCCTAGCAGGGCACCTGCGATATCTTTATGCCCTCTGGAACACATTCAACAACAAATGCGCCAATCTGAGATGCCTGATAACCATGGGACTCCGGCACTCATGAATCTACACCCGCTTCTCCGCCTCCCGTTCTTCAACCATCGAGACATGCGTGCCGTCATTCTTGTCCTCTCGAGCGAGCTGTTCCTGAACATCGTGGCGTACCAGTTCATCGCTCGTAGGATACGCCCGCCGGAACATAGACCACAGCGAATGCGAGAAGAGGTCGTCCATAGACTCCATGCTCCTGCCCTTCAGCTCGGGCAAACAGAAGTAAACAAAACCGACACCAATGAATGTGATGATAGAGAAGAAGAGAAAGGTTCCGTAGCCCATGGTACGCATCATGTGGGGCGTTGCAGAAGTGATGCCATAGTTCACAATCCAGTTGGTGAACAGACAGAACGACATGCAGACCGATCGGATACGAGCCGGAAAGATTTCGGCAGCAACAACGTACGGAGCTAAGCAGTGACCGAAAGACCATCCGACAGCGTAAAGATAAATCCTGTTACTTATCAGCATTCATCTCTCTATCAATTGTGCAGGACGCAGTCATCACTGACCAGATGATTCCAACGTAGCCACCAGCTGAGGTGCCACCACCTGCCTCGGGATTGGCAAAGCGAATGAAAAGTCCAATGTAAAGCATGGCGCAGGCTTGAATTGTTGCCCCGATCATTAGTGGAAGGCGCCGTCCAACGCGGTCAACGATGAGAGTGACGTAAATAACTGTCGCAACCAATTTGACAAGACCGTAGATGCCAACAGTCAACAGAGAGCTGGAGCCACGAGGCACGCCGATCATGGCAAAAATCTCAGGTGCAAAGTAATTCAGCGAATCTGTTCCTGTGCCTTTGTGGAAAATAAACAACATGACGGCGAGGAAGAAACGACGCCGATTGCTGGCATTCGTGCCAATATCTTTGAAAACGGCAATGTAGTTGTAGCCTAGGTTTGTTAGCGTCTCCTGTTGGCTTGCATATTTGATTTGCATCTGCCAATGCAGCTTACCCTTATACTGGCGTTGTTCATGTTCGGCCTGGGCGTTGATCTCCATATACTCTTGGTGAACATAAGGGTGATCCGCAGGCAGGCCTCGGAGCTTGCAAAGGTTTTTTAGACCGCGATCTTTCTTTCCTTTCGAAATGAGAGCACGGGGAGTTTCGATCACAACTAGTATATCGTCAGCTGGACCCATCGACAAAACAACATGACAAAGTCTTACACCAGATAAGGCAGAAGAGAAAAAATCCCGGTATCAATTGAATGCCCAAAGCCAGTTGCCAAGAAGTGTTATCGTTGGGGTCTTGCTTAGGCCACAAGCTCACGGCGTAGTTGACCCAAAAGGCCAGACAGAGCGCCAGGACAATCATGAGGTTGTAGGATGTTGTAAGAGAACCTCGGATAGTCTTTGGGGAGTTTTCTGCGAGATACTGAGGTGCTAACTGCAAATTTCCCTGGTTAGCTAAACAGTAAATCTGGCGGAGCATGAGAACCCTCACCATCGAGGTCGCACCGATCGCGATGCCAGCTAGGAGTCTTCCAGCGTACAGCACGTTCAAACGAGGCACTTCTTGCATGGCACATCCGATCAAGAACAAACCGGACATGATTGTCACGGACCTCTTCCTCCCAAGGAAATCGGCACATGGTGCTGCGAGCAATGCACCGGCTGAGCCACCTGCGGCCACTTTCGACTACGTGTCAGAAAATGCGAAGATACTTTCTAGGAGCACTTACACATTGCTGCGATGTTCCCCTCTGCGTTGTATAAGGTCAGGCTTGATACTTCGTCGCTTTTTTTACAGGCTTACCTCGTTGGTCCACTTCTGATGGTTGCAGGTTGTCGAATCCCATGGCCTTTCGGAAAGAGACAAATGTCATGACACCACCGATGTTTCCTTGATCGAACCCATAAGAGCAACCCGCCATGGCAATTGTAACGCCAAGAAGAAGGAGTTTCCGGTTAAAGATCTCTTTAGGGTCATTCTTCCATTCTGGAGACGCCCATAGTGAAGTGCCACCACCCATGGCTGGGAAAGATACAGTGGGTATCCGGGAGAAGTAGTTCGTTGATAAAAAGATATAAGACTATGTAGAAATGATTTTAGTGACTAGAACCGAGACCATAGTAATCAAGGCTCTTTTGAGCAATGCTGAAGCAGAACAGTCATATATCCCAACGTCCGTCAACGCCAGTCAATGACTAAGTTGGTTACCCCGTGGGAAGCTTCCCCGCATATTCCACTGGCAGGCCAAGGAACATGAGGCGCTTCAAAGCAGACGGCTCGAACTCTGCGTGCCGTCTGCCGCATCGGTCACAATGCCGAGAGTGCACGAAGATCCGGCTTTGTGTCCGAGATCGCCCAGTCTTCCAATGAAAAACAGTTATGACAAAATCAACTGTAACATGCAGCCATGTCACTCTAAGTGTGGAGTTGCATCTAGCAATGTCACTGGAACAGCATCTTAGCTTCAGGCATGAATCGTAGCGTCTCAGCGACTGGCATGTGTCAAATGCTAGTCGTGTCAGTCGTCATCCCCGGACTTGGTGCGGAGTATGCATATCTACGGACTGCAGCACATTGGGAATATTAAGAAACAATGCCTAATCATTACGGATCACAAAAATCCAGCACGCCTCGGATCGAAATAAACCAGCTATGGATCGGATCACCACGGCCACCAACTTAATGGCGTCCTCTCTCGTTCACTTCGACTCGCTACCGGCGACTACTATTCAATCCCATGCCTCCAACCTTCTTCAATTACCCAACAAGACTCTGCTCTGTGCCTGGTTCGGAGGCTCCCAGGAAGGGTTACCTGACATCAGTATCTGGCTATCGCGTCAGACCCCAGGGTCAAACGAATGGTCTCCACCGCAAAAGATCTCATCGGACACGGGCCGCAGTTGTCAGAACCCTGTCCTTTTTAGAGCACCCAGGACTGGTCACATATGGCTCTTCCACACTTCACAGGATGCAGGCAACCAGGACGGTGCATTGGTAATGGTTAGGACATCCAGTGATCATGGCGACACCTGGTCAGACCCTAGTTATCCCTTTAAAGACTTGAAGGGGCTTTTGGTCCGCCAACCACTCGTTGTTCTCAAAGATGGAACATGGGTTCTACCCGTCTTCCTCTGCCGATCCGCCGCAGGACAGCGATGGATAGGAAACGACGACATCTCCGCTGTACTTTTCTCACGCGACGATGGCGTGACCTGGGAGGAAAAGAGAGTCCCTGGGGGCATCGGCGCGGTTCACATGAATATTGTGCCACCTGTCAGGGGACAAGATCACTATGTCGCCTTCTTCCGGAGTCGATGGGCGGACAAGGTATACCGGTCCACGTCCACAGATGGCCTTGACTGGGCACCTCCGGAACCCATCAGTCTGCCAAATCCCAACAGCGGAATTTGCGCTGCCCGTCTTACATCGGGAAGCATTGCAATCGTCTTCAACAATTCCGCTGCTGTACCTAACATGACTAGACGGGAAGGTTTGTACGATGATATTACCCCTGAAGGCGACAAACGGCCCAATCAGGTATCCGTGAATGGCAGATCCGCCATTTGGGGTACCCCTCGCAAGGCTTTGACAGTTGGCATCTCGTCAGACCAGGGAATCACATGGAAAACACGGGTTCTGGAGGATGGCGATGGATTCTGCATGACAAACAACTCGGAGAAGAAAGCAAATAGGGAGCTGAGCTACCCCAGTATCTGGACCGAGCAAGATGTCTCACATGCGCCTGTTCATATTGCTTTCACTTTCCATCGCCAACACATCAAGTATGTTCGGATTGAAAACATTGAGCATTGGGTGGACAATGCTTGAGTTCGAGGAAGCGCACAGCTGGTCGCTGTACGCCAGGTGGCCCTGCGGAGCCACCGAACGGGGGGGCTGCGTAGGGGCTGAGGACTACGAGAACGTTTATATAAAGACTGCTCAGGGCCGAAATTCAGACGTGTTTCGACCCCCTACTCATATTCAATAGCCGCGGACCACGTGTGGAAAGCGTGTAGAAGGCGTGTAGGAGGTGTCTTCACTGCTCCAAATTAAGCAGTTACACCTTTCCTCTGAGCTCATTCTCACTATCGCACGGCTTGTAGCGTGGTCTTGCGGCTTCTATACTGGAAGGAAACCTGTCCAGGAATGCTATTGAGGTACATGACTGGGTTGTCAATAATCTACAAGAATTTGCGCTCAAAAGTGACGGGGTCTTTGGCTGAATCGCTTTTTGTCCAAGCCCTCCCCAGGTATAAGAATCCGCAGCACTACCGCAAAATGATACTCCTGATAAATTCACTCTGCAACCTACCTGTCCCAAGGCCTCTCCTTCTCTGCCTTCTCTAGCACCCCTAAAGTCTCCAAAGTCCATTTTTTCATGGCGTCACTCAGAGGCTCATATGGCTTTCTCATGTTCCAGGAGGCCTCGCTGTCTAAACCTTGGCCTCTGCCAAAGTAGTACCAGGCTCCATACTTGGTGCAAGCAATGCCCTTCTTGCATGCCCATTCCGCATTAGCCACGTCGTCCTGGAGCTTTCTTGCCTCATCCACCCTGCCTGACTGGAACAAGTCATATACCGCTGATGTGCAGCCCGGAAAAATATTGCCCATGCCCGTGACACATCCACTGCCGCCCGCATGCAGCGTTGGCAGTAGGTAGTCGCTGCTGCCGCCAAAGACGCCAAACTGATCGTGTTTGAACTTGCTCGTGAGGCGTGTCAGCTTCCCAACGTTTCCGCACGTGAGCTTGACTGCCGAAATGTTGGGATGAGACGCCAGGGCCGCGATCTGGTCCGAATCGAGATCAATACCAGCAGTGACACCGGGGAAATTGTAGACAATGATCGGAATCGGCGACGCGTCCGCTACGGCGCGATAGTAGGCAAGCAGCGCGTTGCTTGACAGGGCCTTGGCCCAGTAGCTCGGAGGTAACAGCAGCGCGAAGTTGGCGCCGGCACCCGCTGCGTCTTTTGCATTGAGGATCGTTTCGAAGGTTGACTGGGCGGAGATGCCTGCGACAAGAGGGTAATTGGGCTTTTTGAGGTCGGCAATTGCTCGCGCTGCAGTTTGAATAATGGCTTTGCGTTCCTCAGGTGTCAAGAGGGCGAGCTCGCCGTTGGTGCCGAGATAAACTAGGCCGTGCATTCCAGCACTGATGAGGCCCTGGCACTGCACATACATGGCATCATGATCCACTTGTTGCGATGGATCGTTTGCCTTGTAGATAGTAACGACAGGCGTGTAGACTCCCGGCGGAAGTGGGTTGGATTTGGAAGCAATATTGCTGGAAGGCATTGTGTGTGTTGGGGCCACAAGGGAGCAATGTGGTGACAAAGCGTTGTTGTTGAAACGCTTCTTTCGACGCGCAGATTAACGATACTTTGTAGGGCTGAGTTGTGTGTTGTAGAGGTATGGCTAACACCACAGGTCACAGAAGTCGGCAGAATGGCATGGTTTCTCCATACCAAGATCTCTGAGATCAGCCAAGCTGTGGAGTGATTGACTGTCCGATGCAAGAGGATCACAAGGGAAGCCGTTGGTCTGTGGGTAAGATGATGGGCTGGTCCTCGACATCGGCGACAATGCCGATATTGGGGATTCCGCCTCTGTGGGGAACAAGCTTGCGTGTTCGGGGCCATCCCCGGGGTTCCCGACGCCCCAACAATCAGACAATTGAAGATTGACAAAGGCGATTGAAGACATCGAAATCCAGCCAGTAGCATTTCGGTCATGGAGTCCTGTCCTGGTTCGTCTATTTGTCTCTTGATAAACTGGTCAAAAAATCCGGGAGCAAATCGATGCTTCCACACCTCCACACCTCCGACTTTTAGCTGCAACGAGTGCTTGTCATAGCCGAGTATCTTGTGGCTTCAAGTATGACACCAGAAGGCGTTTCAAGCGAAAAGCCAATCATCACACTCGACAATCTCAATAAGCACAATACCTCAAGCGACTGTTGGATCGCAGTCCACAACAAGGTATGGGATATCACGGACTTTATTGGCGAGCATCCGGGAGGGCCGCTGGGTAAGAACAGTCGTCCTGTCAGCCTTGACCGTGTTAACAATAGCAGTCCTTCTCCGGTGTGCTGGGTCTGATGCAACAAAACCCTTCGACCAAGTACACGCACCCGATATCATCGAGGAGCTGCCTAAGGGGAAATTCAAGGGTTTCCTTGAGGAGCCCAGTCCCGATGTCTCCACCAGTGCTGTTCAGTTTGGTGCCAAGCGTCATACGACAATGGCCCCAACAGCATCACCAACAAACGAAGTTCCTTCTCTTGAATCTGTGCTCAGCGCACCTGACTTTGAGGTTGTGGCATCTAAGGCACTGACACCGAAGACGTGGGCTTTTTACTCTTCCGCAGCTACAGATCTCATTACGCACAGCAAGAACAAGGAACTTGTTCGAAGGATCATGATACGTCCAAGGATACTTCGAAATGTCACCAGCGTCAACATGAAAACCAGCATTCTCGGTTTCAAGAGTACAGCCCCGTTCTTCATCGCCCCTGCTGCGATGGCACGTCTGGTTCATCCCGACGGCGAGTTGGCTCTGAGCCGTGCATCTGCCAACGAAGGTATTATCCAATGTGTACGTCTCGTTGTCCTGAGATTTGGATGATCAATGCTAAGTCATGTCTCGCATCCCTAGATCTCAAGCAACGCTTCTTATACACTGCGCTCCATCATGACAGCCGCACCAGCGACACAACCCTTCTTCTTTCAGCTGTATATCAACTCCGAACGACAGAAAACGATTGACATCCTCAAATCGGCACGCTCCCTAGGTATCAAGGCCATATTTGTAACGGTCGACGCACCAGTGCCAGGCAAACGTGAAGCAGACGAACGGGCCGCGCAGGCTGTGACGGTACGATCCGCCATCAGTGGCGGCGAGAGCAGCAAAGACAAGAAGGGAAGTGGATTGGGGCGTCTGATGGCGCAGTACATCGACAAGTCCCTGACATGGGATGATCTGTCATGGATACGAGAGGCGAGTGGTGTGCCAATTGTCCTTAAGGGTGTCCAGACCGCAGACGACGCCAAGATGGCAGTAGAGTATGGCGTAGATGCAATTCTGCTGAGCAACCACGGTGGCCGATCTCTCGATGGGTACGTTGTCGCCACTTCACGCCTGGCTCAGAGCTAACGAATCATGCACAGATCTCAAGCAAGCATCCTGGTCTTGATGGAGCTACGAAAACACTGCCCAGAGGTTTTTGAAAAGCTTGAGGTTTACGTTGATGGCGGTTTCGAGCGAGGATCAGACATACTAAAGGCTGTCGCGCTGGGAGCTACGGCGGTGGGCATCGGCCGGCCCACGCTGTATTCGTTGGTATATGGTCAAGAAGGCGTAGAACATCTAGTTCAAAGTGAGTGTGACGTGCGACTGAAATCTCGAGTTACTTGCTGACCCTTTCAAGTACTCAAAGATGAACTAGAAACATCAATGAGACTATGTGGTATCACAAGTCTGGATGATGCAACCCCGGCTTTGGTCAATACGCGTGACGTTGATTATCTCGTGGCATCCGTAGAGCAGAGCGAGCCCGGACGAAAGCACAGAAGAGCAGTGATAGCAAAGATATAGAGTTCAATAAATTCAAGATCCCATGACATCCATCCAGAGTATTCCTCAAGACGTAAATTCGGGGGAGTCCGTCACCACCAGGCTCCTTGACCGAGGCGTCCGTAGATACTTAACCCTATTTCCAGCAATAAAGTGTCTTACCGACGGTAAGGCACTTGATACGCTGCCCTACAGCTGTAAAGTGAACACTCTAACATGAATCATTTGTCAAAAGTTCAAGCGATTCTCACACATAAATCTCCTTGGCAAAGTCTTCCCGATTGATCGCATCACTGTGGTTTCACACAGCCTAGCACATAGACTCTATGCCTCCAGCGTCGCAGCAAACGCCTTGACAGCATCGAGCACATCTCCATCAGCCTCCAAGCCCAGACCATAAGCTCGACTAACATCGAACCTCGAAGGCCACGTGTTGACGATCTTCTCAATGACAGGGTCCCTCTTCTCCTCCACCAGACTCGCAGCCTCGTTGCCGCCCACCGACTCCAGTGCGTCCAGAATCTGATTCACCGTCACGGTAATGCCCGGTAAATTGACAATCCTCGACTCCCCAAACGCCTCCTTCGGTACGTCCTTGATCTTGACCAGATTCTTGACCACCGTCTTGGGACTGCACACCCACAGCTCCAGATCCCGCGCAACGGGCAACACGTTCCTCTCCCCGTTCAGCGACTCCCGCACGATGCCCGAAGCAAAGCTCGATGCCGCGGCAGAGGGGGCCCCGGGCCTCACCATGACGGTCGGCAATCTGACGATGCGTCCGTCCAGCAGCCCGCGTCGCGAGTAGTCGTTGAGCAACAGCTCGATGATGAGCTTTTCGGCTCCATACGAGCTGCGAGGCTGCGGCAGCGTTTCGGATTCGCGAACGGGATTCGCGGGACCGTAGACGGCGCAGGAACTGGTGAAGACGACGACTGTGCCGGGGTACTCGGTGCGGAGGTGGTCGAGGACGGTGCGAACGGAGTCGACGTTGACTTTCAGGCCGAGGTCGAGGTTTGCTTCGGCGCCGCCGGACATGAGGCCGTGGAGGAGATAGACTGCGGTGAAGGGGCGGGAGAGAAGGGAGGTTACGGCGGCGGGAGATGTGAGGTCGGCCTCGAGAGAGGTTATGCGATCGCTGTGGGACGCTGCGCTGGCGGGAACGGGAGGCTCGACTACGTCTGTGAGGGTGAGGCGTGTAGAGGGGTCTGCGGCCAAGAGGGCAGATACAAGGTCCTGGCCAATGAAGCCGGCGGCGCCGGTGATGAGGATGTCGGCCATGATGCGGATGTTTGTATGTACGGGGAGATCTGGAGAGATGGCAGTTCGTGATTATGGTGACGGTAATGAAAATTCAGAAGAAGTTCAAGCGGCTTCAGCTGTGATGAACCTCTCAGGAAGTGCGTCCGTGAAACAAGCCATCGCGAATATCGGCCATGGACCCCTCTTCCCTCTGCCAAACTTCAACGGTAGCTGGTGCCGTCAAGATCCCCGCACTTCTCCAAAGCTAACCCCTCCATCATGTCGCGACATCCCAGTTGGAGTACATCGGCCACAATGCCGGCCTCCAACCACCGACTTCGGAGACAAAGCCGATAGACAGCCTCCGGCGGATGATTGCAGATCTGCTCCCAATGGAAGACTGAGCCCCTTGTCGTCGTCACTTCTAGCAGTGAATGGAAGTGGGGGTCCTTCGTAGGGGATAAGAAGACCCCAGGCAAAATCATGACAGGGAGAGGGACGGCATCGCAAGTACTGCCTCACCCAATATACCCAGCCCAATCGCATCCAGACGCCATGTCCGCCAATATGGAATACGTCAGGCAAGTGAAGCCGCCATCTCTGCTCTCGCCCGTCTGACCAAATAGACAGACTCGGCACGAGCGGCCTCAAAGTCTCCAAGATCATCCTCGGCTGCATGACCTTCGGCTCCCCGACATGGGAATCCTCCCCCTGGACCCTGGGCGAGGAAGACGGCCTCGAGCTCCTCAAGGCCGCCTACGACGCGGGCATCAACACCTGGGACACGGCGGACACGTACTCCAACGGCCAGTCGGAGGTGATCATCGGCAAGGCGCTCAAGAAGTTCAACATTCCGCGGCAAAAGGTCGTCATACTGTCCAAAATCTTCAACCCCGTCATGGACGACGATTCGAGACCGCCGAGCGTCAACGACGGGCCAATGGTCAACCTCATGGGTCTCAGTCGCAAACACATCTTCCACGCCGTCGACAGGTGCCTCGAGCGGCTGGGCACAGACTACATTGGTGCGTTCCCTTGTCCTCCTTGCTGAGCCGCGCGAAAGGCGGTAAGCAAAAGACCAACACAGCCAGACGTCCTCCAAATTCACCGCCTGGACCGCGAGACGCCCCCCGAAGAAATCATGCGCGCCCTGCACGACGTGGTCCAGTCCGGCAAGGTCCGCTACCTAGGCGCCTCGTCCATGTACACCTGGGAGTTTGCCCGGCTGCAGTACGTCGCGCGCGCACACGGCTGGACAGAGTTCATCTCGATGCAGCCCTTCTACAACCTCCTCTATCGCGAGGAGGAACGCGAGATGCTGCCCTTTTGCCGGGCGAGCGGCGTCGGCGTCATCCCGTGGAGTCCCATCGCTAGGGGTCTGCTAGCGAAGCCGCTGGGCGAGGAGTCGGTGCGGAGCAAGATGGACAAGAAGAAGGATCTGTGGTTCGCGGATGCCAACCTGGACATTGTCGGGAGGGTGGAGGAGGTTGCGAACAAGAGGGGCGTTAGCATGGCGGTTGTGGCGACGGCGTGGGTGCTGAGGCAAGGCTGTTGGCCGATTCTGGGTCTGAGTTCTGTAAAGAGGGTGACGGAGGCTGGTGAGGCTCTGAAGATGAAGTTGACTGACGAAGAGGTAGAGTACCTGGAAAGCGAGTACCGACCGAGGGCGATCCAGGGCATGTAAAGCGAGAGACAAGCTGTGACACATGCGGACACGCGCTGAATAAAACACTGTCTAAATCATATCTGTGTCTTCAACATTGTCCCCGAGTATCATGTTCATAGACGCGTTTCCTCTTGTCATGGATACATCTCAGGTTTGAGGCTGTGTGGAATACTCCACGTTCGCAAACTCCTGCAAGCCCTCAATCGCCATTGTGGTCGGATCAAAACGGAACACTGGCGATAGTCCAAAGCTCATATCGAAATCAAACAAAATGTCACCTTCCATGCCCATCAATACAGGGTCGGCGACTGGCATCATGGGCTGACCGCGCACTTCCAACACCCCACTGGTCATTTCGCAGCCAGCCATGCCATTTTGCATCGTCGTCTGCCCTTGAACGTGTGGCTTCAGCGTTGCAGCCATCTTCTCGAGTCCCGGCGCCATGAGGTTCGCCAGGTGCCAGCGCCCTGTCGGTAGTGAACGAAAGTGGCGAACGAGTCGTGTTGTCAGGTCCCAGACGCGCTGGGGCTCGATCAGATCGCCGCCGTGTTTGACAGACACCTTGATCAAGAACATGCAAGCAAAAGCCGTCATGCAGTGGAGGTAAGAGGGTATGCCCACCACGCTGGCTGATACGTCTGGGTCGGTGAGGATGAATTCGATCGTGGATGTGGCGGCAGCAATGGCTGTCGCAGTGCCATCCAGAAAATAATGTGGAATGGTGAGTTCGCCCGAGGAGCCACGGAAAATGTGAGAGTACAAATGCAACTTGGCGAAGTGGAAATGCAAAAGAGCACCCTTGCTAGGAAACCGCCCGACGCCTGAATATTGGTCTGCGGTGTTAGCGACTTCATGGTCTTCTGATGAACAGGCTGATACGTACCGCGTAAGACACCTGACCAATGGCCTATCCAGTGGTCCAGCTGCTTGTTGAAGTGGGCTATCTGATGGAGATATGCCCTTGGTATAGGTTGGCCTTTGTCAGGCCCGAAAAGCTCCCGTATGCTTCCGAGAATCCCTAGTAACGCAACTTGGCTCGCGAGGCGCTTGTCTTCGGCATTGGAGACGGGGGATTCTAAGAAGCTCTCCCAGCCCTGCATTGAGGAGTCTTCGTGCACAATTGCTGGTCGACCGTACAGAGTGGCAAGGTGCTGGTCGCAGATGTTGAGAATATACCAGAGCCTCGCACCATCAGCGGCCTCTTGGCTTTGCTTCTCGATAGCTTGGCTGTGACAGTTGTGAAGGTTGCACTCGGACGCTCGTCTAATAGCATAACCCGAGATCATCCACGACATGTCGCTGAGCCAGTAGGCGGCAATGGCCATGGCACGGATGTAATCCCGGTCAACTCTTCGATCGAACATGGATTTTTCCATGAGGCGGCGGAACTCTGCGCTGCACACTCCGTACAGTGCCTCCGCCGCAGGTTCGTGGAGCGCTGCGACTGTCAAGGTCGCGGCTGTCAGAACAGAGCTCTTTCGGCGTAGCTCATCGAGAGTCTGATAGCGGCATCCCACACGATACATGTAAAAGTCCAATTCATCTCGATACAGACAGAAAAGACGTTCTGCTGCGCTCAGAGATATGGCACCTCGGGCAATAAAGTCGTCGGCAATTCGGCTTCGGTGCTCGTCCGGGCTATCAGGTCGCAAAGCCCGCAGCTTTGTGAGGGCGTACAGGGAGTGGATCGGCACATTGGGGAGGTGCGACTCGTCTTCAGGCGAGATCTTGGGTGAGTTGTCACACGAGGGACCGACGTGATTGTCGGATGGAGCGAGGCGGTTGTTGTTCGTGCTGCCGTTGTTGTTGTTGGTGGTGGTGCCGTTCACGGCTCGGGGTTGACGGTCCGTGGCGCCCGGCGAACTTCCGGCATCACGCATCCCGCTCGTTTCGAGAGGCTGCGGCTCCGAAAGGCCAAGCTTCTGCGTGACGTCGCGCAGAGTAGCATGGAGGGCATCCAGGTCGTGGAGCACAGCGTCGGTGTACTGCGACTTTTCGTCAATGATGCTCTGCAGGTTCTTGCCGAGGACACATCCGAGGTTTCTCTCTGCGCAGCGGCGGCACGGTGGTCCGCTGTCGTCCATCAAGCATTTGATCTTGGGCCGTGTCAGTTTGTGTTCCTACAGTAAACAGCCGGGATATTCTTTCACCTTGTGTCTTCGACATGCGCCGCACGCCTTGATCTTGCGCGAGATTTGAGGAATCGAATGGTCAGAGACACCAGCGCCATTGTTCAGACCAAGTGTCATCTGGGTGGTCGGACTTGTCGCCGGGCTGTTGCGCTGTGGGTTTGCTTTGGATGATGGTTGGCAGTGAGTCGCAGGTGCTACACCTTGGGCCAGCAACTGTGGAGAGCCTGAAGAGGAGAAGCGCTGATGCTGGGTTGGACCCTGCGATTGTGGTTGCCACTCTGTACTCTCGGTCTCGGCCCAAGGGCGTTTCGTCATGGCGTCTTCAGATCAAGACGTCTTCGTATCGAGACGTCTTCGGCATCAGAAGGGTCATGCCGGGAAACAGACGAGAGGAAACGAGAAGAAGTCCAAGGAGCGGGTGTCCTTGGAGCAGGTATTATGTTAATGACCTCAAGCAATGAGCAAACAGGCAGGGGGGAAGGCACGATGGGGGTCGCGACCCCAGGTGCGACCCGCCTCCAACCTTCCCCGCACGCGGGTGCTAGACCCCACTATAACTCGGCCCGCCACAGGTTCTACGGGGCTCATTAGGTCTTTAGGTCTTTAAGGGGGGGACATGGCGAAGTCTTAGCCTGGCGTGTTTGACTCGAGCCCACCCCCTTCGTCACACCCGCTATCAGGGCAATCGGGCTTTTCCATTTTTCTGGAAGATTGGTTTGATGATACGCTATCAACTCGAGTCACGCATAGCTCCCCGTAGCTCGTCATTGTGTGTAGTGGGCAAACCTTCTTTTGTGAGCATCAACCTTGATCTCTGTTTCAGGCGATGGCGTTGGTTGGTTCCAACGTCCACTAGATCGCTAGTGAAGGCTTGAGGCCTGCCGGTAGGGGACCCTAACCGTGGAGATCACCAAAAGCTGTGCTACCATGTTTCCGTCATGGCAGACTCGGCAGCCCATACATCGATCGAGCATGCACAGATGAATGGTGCAAGAAAATACGCTGATTAGGTGCCAAAAGTCCCATCTCCAGTACACAAGCACCCCCAAGCAACTACAAAGCCACCCGAAATTCCGTCTATCATGCAAAATACAAAACCGTCTACACAAGTGTTGTACAATCTATCCAATCTGCTCCACCCTCAGTGTGTTCGGGGGGCTCTTGCGGCCGCTGACGAATTCAAAACTCGTCTCCGGCGTTCTCTCGAGCTCCGTCTCGACCCACGACTTGATACTGCTCGCAGCGTCATGCGGGCTCTCCAGGTGAAGCTGGAAAAAGCCCTGCAGCTGAGAAGGCGTCAACACGTCGTCCGGCACCTCGGCAGCGAAACGTGCGGCGAGACCCTTGACCTCGTCCATCTCCAGGGGTGACGTGCAGCCCAGCTCAGGCGAGAACATGCGGACAAACATCTCCTCGGCCGACCTTTGGCTGATGTTGCCGAGCAGCACCTTCATGTCCACGCGCCCCGGCCGCACGAGCGCGCTGTCGAGCTGCTCGGGCCTGTTGGTCGTCATGATGACGATGCGGCCCTCCTGCGAGCCGACGCCGTCCAGGACGTTCAGGAGACCGGACAGGGTGCAGTTGGGCGTCATGTTGCCGTCCTGGCTGCTGGGGCGCGGGTTCGAGCGGTCGACCCAGACGGCATCGATGTCCTCCAGCAAAACGACGCACCGTGGTGGCACCTCCTGGAACATTTGCTCGAGATCCGCATCCGTCGCAACGCTGGGGACCTTGACCTCGTAGAGATCGAGGCCAAACTCGCCGGCGAGGGCCACCGACAGGGAGGACTTGCCGGTCCCCGGCGGTCCGTAAAAGAGATAGCCCCTCCGATACGGCATGCTGCGGCTCTGGTACCGCCTCTTCGTCTTGGGGTCGAGGTAGTTCCGTATGTCGGCCAACAGGTCCTGCTTGAGATTTGTGTCGAAGTGCACCGTCTCCAGATGCCGGATCGGTCTTCTGGCCTTGGGCTGCCAGGCCAGGCCGTAACGGTCGCGAGAGTAGATGATGACGAAGAACTGCGTCTGCTTTTCGGAATACGCGCGGCATCCTTCAACGAAAGCTTTAAGGGCCTCTGCGGACCAGCCCAAACAGCGCAGGGTGAGTTCCTCGCCGCCCATGCCGTCGTTCCTCGGGTCGGAGAGGGAGGCGTTGAAGTCGTCGATCCGGCGCGAGACCATAATGAGGGTTCCGTCATACCATATCCAGCGAGAGTTCCAATGAGGCGAGTACTGGATGGACTGTTGCGACTTTTTCAGAGCCGCGCCCCTATCGCTGTGGACATGTCCGACCTCGGTGCGTCCCGTGAAAGACCGGTGGTGCCGAGGACGGTTCTCGAGGACCCATTTGACGACGCTGGCGTTGAGGGGGTCACCGCCGGGGATCGTGACGGATGCCAGGAAGAAGCGCCGGACGCAGGCGGCTGCCTCGGACCATAACCTGTGGACAAACCTCCACGCCGTCGGCAGTGTCCCGGCAATGGCGATGAGAGACCCGATCTGAGTGATGTCCAATCTCGACCAGCTCGCAAAGACATCTTTCATGACGCTGAGTCCATGAGCCCAGGGATCGAGCAGCTGGGAGCCCGTGGCAGCGCCGACGTGGTAGCGAAGCGACATGGCCCTGATGGCCTTTTACTCGTTGATAGGTCAGGCCCGCTCAGATGTCATGTCATGTGCATTCATGCAATGGAGCTCGAATCCGGGGTGACGGTCCAGCACTGCGCCGTTGCTAGTGCACCCGGGGCGCTACCACCCGCGCGTGGGCGGGTCAAAATGAAGGAAATGGAAAGCCACCGTTGGCTAACAAATAATTACAGTTACATTGATAAGGAACGACAATGAATGAGACGATACAATGGCGGCAATGCTGGTAGGGGAGGTATTGCTTTCCGATCTCGAATAAAGGGATTAGCCGGGGAAAACTTTTCTGTTGACAGTCAGCCAACGTTGCGCCACACACAGCCACTGAGTATGCCAATTGTGGCGCAGTTTGTCCTCCAGCTGCGACCAACACGAATTTTCCTCACTTGGTTGAGCGGACGCCCTTGGAACTGATCATCATACTTTCCACAGTGTGATTATACTTGAGATCTACCTGTAGATGCCAGAATGTCTTGGCCCCGGCTAGACGGCGGACTCTGGGTCTCATCACTGTATTAGTGGATGGGTGTGTTCGGTTCGGGATGCTGTGAGCGAAGCCCGATGCAACGGCCAGCAGTCGCCAATCGTCCTTCAACGTCGAGAAATACGAAAGCAAAAGCCTGAAGCTTGCGTTTCGGTGCCAGTCCGAAAATGGAATCTGATGAGATAATCTTTCTTAGACAGCACTCACGTTACTATCCTGAGGGCAGTTGAGAAATGATAGACCCAGTCAAGCACTGACTCGAATTTTGAGGAGAAAGATATCCCTAATGAGGTTGTCAGAAAAGCAACGAAAGATGATGCTGAGTTTCATCTTGCCGGATCTCCGAAAGAAACAATTCGAATCGGTACCATACGTGAATGTAGGCGAAAGACCTTCGAGTGAATCCACATGGCACTTATTCGGCATGGAGACCAAGAATTTACAGATTAAAGCTACGACCCCTTAGTATGCTTGTCAATACTGACCAGACTTCTCTTGCATAAGCAACTTGGCTGCAATGCAACAAATGCGCTTCACCAGGGCATATTCATCCACGACAATCCCTCCCCGCGTCTTCATGAAAGTTCAAGGGTTACGCAGCTGAGAATTGGGTGAACTCTTGAGCTAAGAAGCTTAGACTGCGAGGGACAGTGAGAACCATGAACGCTCGAGTGGTTCTGCAACCTTTATGTTTGCCCTTGCCTCGGAAAAGATGCAGTTTCTTTTCTTTTTGTAGATGCTAGCAGCATTCGGCCTTGCCATGTAAGCCCTTACCATTTTTTCCTCCATGGAACCATGCTAACTGGCTGAGGAAGGTGGCGGAAGATATCGGGAGCCACTGTGCAGCAATTTTCGGATAAGATTACGCAATCTGGGACTCACAAGCAATGCATTAGACTGGTGATATTGTAGAGTTGCCTTATGTAGCAGATAGCGCGGTTCGCTTGACAGCTCTACTACACAACCCAGCAGACGAGACGGCAGTGTTCGATGATCAGTTCGTGAAGAAAGGCGCGCTAATGCTACGAAGACTGACTGGAGCACATAATTGCTACGGGAGGCCAATAAGCGTTTATATATCGGCCGAGCATGCATCGATCGAGGACTACTAACACGCAAACCCGAGCCGCCGCAAGTCGCAGAGGAAAGTGAAGTCTTGAGATCCAAACTGTCGAGAATGGGCAAAATGATAGACAGGGTCACCACGGATAGCTTTAGCAAGCAGAAGGGAATCGTAGATATACTCGGATCAGCCTGCTCCACGACTCCGCCAATTAAGGCGGCGAATTGGCCGCTGGTCATCAATGTATGACATGTCAAGCGTCCTTGGTTTCCGTCAATCCATCAACAACCTCCTGTGCTGCACGCTGGCCCGCAGTGACTGCCCCCTCCAGGTACCCTTTCCACACAAACGCAGTTTCAGTGCCAGCAAAGTGCACATTCTCAAACGGTTCCCTCATCGCCGCGCCGTACTTGCGCAACATGCCCGCCCCGAGAGTGGTTGTCGGTCCACCGAGGAAATACTCCTCCGTCGTCCACTCGACGTACTGAACCTCGCGCACGTCTCGCGCCTCGTTGGCAAGATCCTTTCCGAAGATTTCAGCCAGATGCTCAATGATTGACCTCTCCTTCTCGTCCGCGGGCAGAGCGCTCCATTTCTCAGCGATACTACCGGCAATGAACACCATGAGGGCGTGCAGATCTTGCGATGCATCCGAAATCTCCCAACCGAAACAAGCCGGCCCCGCGAGAGAGGTAAACTTGCCGACGAGACCAGCGTCGCGCCACCAAGACTTGGAATAGGTAATGGCCATCTTTGCGTAGATTCC